GAATGCATACCGCACCCCAACCCAATGCTACTTAAAATACCCAGTGACAGCCACCATGTTATGCATTCTATATAAATTAAAAAGTTGTTCAGATAATAATATTTATGTCTTATTTTGAACAAAACCAATAACAGTATGATGCCAAGGAATATTACCTTGTTGTATTTTTTATGTTTCTTGTAGGTATTAGAAATGATATTTCTCAGTTCTAAAAAAAAAAGTTTTATCGTCTTGATAGGGTGGTAATATAAATTTATATCTTTCCTCTTCAAATACAGCTCCTTCTTTTTAGCTTCGTACGAATCCATCCTTGCTACATAATTTTTATATATACATGTATTATTAGAAAAGAATGCGAAATCAAAAAACAGGAGCGTTAAAAAGAGGGGCAGTTCTTCTTCACCAAAAAAAAATTACACATATGACACGTCTGTGTAGGGTAATATTTTCTTCTGTCACTTTAATTTAAGACGTTCTTCTACCTCTTCTGTTAAAGTGCGTTGTTAAAAAAACAAAAAATATATCAAACTACATACACCCTTGAGCTTAATTACATTCTATATAATTATGCATCTTATACAAGATCACAATGTGCAATTACATCATTCGTGTTGTGATATAATCATCAATCGAATATTAAAACTGGTGACAAATGGGGCACTTCATGGCTCTGTATTTTTGTTAAGAAAAATAAACAAAAAAAAAATGTATTTAAAACACTCTCCTTTTAAGTCCTGTGCTTGTACATATTGATAAGTGCAGCGGACACACTTGCAGGAAAGCCTACATGTGTGTATCTATAGAAACTCATACGTGTATACCTCTATAACCTTGATTAAACGTTCTGTGTTTTTGCTCGTTCCAGAAGTAACAGCCTACAAATGATTGCAAAGGAGCACGTGAATGGCAAGGGGCACAAGCGTCATGAGCAATGGTTACCAAGTTCTGAGCAAAAAGGCGATGCAAGAATGGATAGGCACACGTATTTGCATTTGTATACACATTTATATGTGCGTATCCATACCAGTGTGTATATTAACGCATGTACGTGGGCACGATCACCTCGTTTATATGTACACACTCACATGCATACCTTTACCTCTTTATAAACGTTCATCAACAAAAAATAAGAACAATCAAGCGCCTCACCAGGGTACATATGTAATGAGGGTTAGTAAAATAAAAAATATTGTAAAAGTCATAAAACGAATATATAATATGAAATACTTGTGCAGAATTGGTATTTTGTTCCAGTGGAATGAAAACTTATTTATTTTGTTATGTATTAATTTTTCTCTTTGTTGCAAAAATTTGCAAAAAATATGTAATGAATAAAATGCTGAACAAAAAAGTGCTTTACGAAAGAAAAGCATTACATACCATTGGCAGTGCTGTGTTCAATACCGGATATGCATATTTAAAAGCAAGCATTTGCAATAAACGGATATGAATTTTTTGTTCGCGCATAAATATGCAATGTATTAATTATATATAACATGTTCTTACGCCAGCGCAGTAACGATAGCTTTTTTAAAACCTGTTAACATCTTTTTGGGCTTACTTTTGGTTCATGCGGTTTATAAGTATAATATACTTACGTATTACATAAATAAAATATGCGCATAAACTGTATATAGGTACATATGAACCACGATTTTACTGCAAAACATTTTTTTCTCTTTTTTTCCATGTATTTTTTAATACCCAAAACCAATTGGCCCATTCCATTTCTTAACTGTTAAACGCATAAAAAAGTGACATCCTTTTCAAAATTGGCAATTCATTTTCCCCCTTCCATGGACCAATATCTGCTTTGCGTTTTTACGCATTTGCATATATGTTCTCATTTGCATATTTGCTGTCATTTGCTTATATATGTATACAAATCATTTGTTTTCACGCTTGCGTATTCTACCGACAATGAACATGTGCTGCTAATTCTACGAAAATTAAATGGCATGGGTGTTGAGAACCTGAGCATAATTAAACACCCTCTATGCTTTTAAATCTTCGCGTTTGTGCCATTTTCTGCCTTCATTTAATTAATTTTATTTAATTACGAAAAAAAGACTTTTCTCTAAAGTGTGCATATGCATGTACATTTACGATGTATACAAATATTCTACGCGTTGTATGCATTATCTGCATATGCCAGCTTTGCATGTGTATAGCTTGTTCTTAAGGCCGACGTACAACGCATTTTTAAAAATATCTACAATACGGCAAGGCGAACTTTCCGTCTACACAGGAGAGAAAAAAAAAAGAAAAAAAAAGTAGTCGCAATATAAAAAAAAAAGTGGCATTATAATACACCAAGCCAAATGTAAATTATATTGTGGAACCAAGGGAGGGTTTACGCAACATCAGAAAGCTCGCGCTTGCACATAGTTATTACAAAGTAGGACAAGCATCCTTATCCGCGTTGAATCCCCATTTTAGACTAAGCGCGAAGGACGTAAATATATAACTATATGAAAAGGCTAATCAAAAAACCGTACAGAAGAATAAGTCTGCACAGTAGAAAGCACACTAATAAAAAAACAAAATTTCCCATCTCTGTGCGCTGTAAAATATTCACACCACAGCGTGAGCCCTACGAGAGGGAAAAAAAAAAAGCCAGACATACTGAATAAAATTCTCTAAAAAAACGAGACATAATAAATGACAAATATCTACCTTCCATAGTGAAAAAATACGACACGCACACAATACAAACGTATATGTGAAAAATGGACAAGGCCATAGTTAGGGGAAGCTTATTCGATGATGACGTGGACGTCAATGATCATGATGTTATGAGGAGAAGACTCGACTTCCTGCAGGAAGAAATGACCATGCCACCAAACAGCATGAAAAGTGTTATTGACAAAACAGCTGCTTTCGTTAAAAAAAATGGAAAAATATTCGAGCAAAAAATATACAAGGAGAAGGAAAAACAGTTCGGTTTTATAAATCCCGCGCACCCCTACTTTTACTATTATCAGTACAAGCTACATGAGCTATTCGTAGGGGCAGAGGAAAAAAGTTTAGTCCCCAAAGCCATTTTAGAAATAAAAAAAAGAGAAGACCTAAACAAAGCCAGTAATAACGAACATATATTAAAAATATGTGATTTTATAAAAGAAGACAATAAAGAAGAAAAAAATAAAATTATTTATGCAATAAATGATCAGTCAAATGAGGAAATTGCACAAGAGAAAGAAGAAAAAATTGAAGTAAAGGAAGATATATACACAATTACAACTCCATTTATCAGCTCAGTAGACGTCGATTTAATCAAAACAACAGCGTTATTTGTTGCAAGGAATGGAAATCAATTTTTAAATGAACTCATAGATAGAGAAAAAAATAACAATCAGTATGATTTTTTGCGAGCAAATAATCTTTACTTTAATTATTTTTCAAAACTTATCGATATATATGTAAAGTGCCTACTACCAAATGATGACATAATAGACAAATTAAAAAAATATTCCACGAACAAAAGTGATATTATAAACTACTCGTACAGTGTGTACAATTTTAATATGAAAAAGAAGGAAGAAGAAGAAAGGAAAATGGAGCAAAAAACGAAATGTGATACCTTCTACGATTGGACAAACTTCTCCGTTGTGGAAACAATTAACTTTGACGAAAATGATGATTATCTTCCCCAGTCCATTGACTTTAACAATGTTGAAAATTATGTCCTAAATCAACTATTCGATACAGATAAAAAGTACACAAATTTGGAAAAAATTGAAAATATCTCTTATCATGATAGCAATGTAAACAAAACAGTTTACGCAGATGATGACATGATGGAACGCATGGACAATGAAACATTTGATGCAGATACGGATAAGCAGTATACTGATCATGCAGGAGAGGACGAATATTACGAAGAAGGTGTGGGACAAAGTAAAATGAGAGCCAAATGTCATAGTAATGGATACGAAGAGGAATCCTTAGATAGCTCCCAAGAAAAGGAATACGCTGCGGCTAAAAAACACGCTAAAAAGGGACCAAAAGGAAGGAAAATGAACGATGAAAATTATGGCGAAGATGGCGACAGCTCATTAGATGAAGATCAAGTTGCGGAGAGGAAGATGGATGAGGAAGACGATGATGATGATGATGAAAATGAAGAAAGAATCATAGTTGTAAAGAATTACGAAAAATCAAAAAAACATCGTCTAAACAATCAAAACATGCACTTGTGCCCAATCACAAATCAACCAATTGACATCAACGATATGACGAAACATTTGAAAACCTTATTATTGGATCCACAGTGGAAGGAACAGAAAGACAAGCTATATGAAAAGGCAAAGAAGGAAGCATCCTTCACTCCTCTTGAAGACATTGAAGGAAATTTATCTCTTTTTGTCATTAACAGACCAGATCTTTTTGGCTCCATTGACGAAGAAATTAATGAGCACACATTAAATGAAAATAAAAAAAACACCAAGAATATGAAGAACAATAAGAAGGGGGAAGACGTCTACAGTTATATTCATAATATATACAATAAAATTCTGCCTGGGCCATCCATGGCCCACTACCCTCAAAATGCAGACAGTATGAAAAAGGATTCGACTGATCAAAAAACTAAAAAACAAAGAAAAGGTTAAGAATCAATTAGGCGCATACGTTGGAAAGCAGTTTGCTCCATCGGTCGCCCAAAAAGGTGTTGTTTTATCCACCAGTTGGTGATCACCAATGAAGATTCGTCGCTTCTATAAAACTGTGAACAGGAATGGGCTATTTTTACAATGTCAACAAAAAAAAAAAAATTGCTACATTCACAGCTGTATAGCTATTTTTTTTTTTTTTTTTTTTTATTTGTGTGCAAAGCTTTTTTGAATGATAAAAAAAGCTAGCTATCCCATGGTGGTCATTTTGCCTACTTCGCAACATGGCAACTTGTCATGTTGCCTTTTGTCCACCTTACCATTTTGCCCCTTTTGCTCTATAATTTAATTTAGTTTAGTTTAATTTTTTTGTCCCCTCACACATTTTTAACTATTTTTCGTTTGTTCATCATTTTTTGGTATATAAACTCCCTTTAAATAAAAATCTATCTTTTCGCCATCGGTAACGTCAATGCAGTATTTTTTTGTTACGTCGCTCTTGTTGGTTGGCCTGCGTCCATAAGGCGAAAAATGTACACGTAGCGTTATTTACATACATCCATAATTAAGATATGGGAAGATAACTACTAAAAAAACAAAAAAAAAATACTTACGTGAATGTTACTATAATGTAATCGGGAAAGAGAAAAGGGTTATTCCAGTTTTCGTCTTTTCCAAGGTTCACGTCATGCATGTCGTATGTTTTTCCAAATAGGATGTCTTTCGTTTTACTGAAGTGGAATACTTTATTATCGGCGCCTTTTAAGGAGTAAGAATTATTCTTCGTAAAAATATAAAAAAAAAAAAAAAAAAAAAAAAAAAAGCGATTTCTATGTGTGAACGTTTCAGCGCTATTTTTGCAAGAGGAATCGTTTTATTTTTTCGTATTTTTTTCCTTTTTTTTTTTCCAAGTAGTACTACGCTATGTGGGTCGTCCTCCTTTACAGCCCATGTGGCGGGAAATCTCGTCGTATTAAACAAAAACAGACAAAGTTTGTACATTTTTAATTCACTAAAACTGATGGAAATAAAATAGGCGCTGTTCCTCATTTCAATTTCACTATATATTATTTTTCCCGCCTTTATTTTGTCAGAAAGGTTGCTCTCAATTTCGTTCAGCTCTCTGCAATTTTCTATTTTCTGATTTTTCTTCTTCAAGTTATTAAACTCTCGAAATATGTGCTGGTTCTCTTTGATGATTAAAAAGGGCACGCTATAATGACATTCCACACAAAACCTTTGTTGCCTTTTACTTGTTAAATATTGGAATGTTAGAAAATCCTCTTGTATGTACTTTTTGTCTATTGCACTCTTCGTGGGCATATTACGGCTTGGATTATTTTTTAGTTCATTTTTCAGCTTCAGTTCATCTACTTCTAGCTTTACGCAAACCTTACCTTTGCTCTTGATGTAGTACTGAAAAAGGGAACGCGCACATGCAAGAGGGATATGTACACTCACATATACATACACACATCCATATACGTGCATGCACATCCATGTAGTCACGAGGGCAATCCTTTCATGGAGTCCCCGAAGTTCAACACGAACAAAAATACAGGTTCACACAAAACTGACACAGCTCTAATGTCTTATACAGAGCTCATTTGTTTTACAATTTTCGTGTTGGAATGGTCAAACTCTTCGTGACCTATGTAGACATTTTTTATTTGAAGGAACTTTTTCGTGTATATGTACGCGTAAAAAGGAATCTGCTGCTGATTGCAAAAATACAACTTTAGATTTTTGTTTTTCAAAAACGTCTGATCAAAATATTCATTTACTTCGTTCACGTCTTCATATAATATGTCATTAATCACTTGGCTTTTGTACATTTTATCAATTCTTTTGTACGCCTTTTTGTTGAAATAGTTCAAATCGAATTTTATCCTCTTGCCATAAGAGCTACCAAAAAATAACAAAAAAGCGAAAGGGGTGAAGGACACAAACGTGTTCATATGTGCTACGTGTTTTTCATAAGTGTCCATTTAATTGCTTAAATTGTAACTTTAGGCTAAGCCATGGGGCCTACGCTTATCTACATGTACATATCTATTCGTATTTACTCGCACGCTCATGTGTATGTTTATACTTCCCCTTGACGCACTACTTTCGGGTACACGATATCTTATCTACTAAAACTGCCTCTTTTAATTACATTTTACTGTTATGTAGTAGCGTGATTCTCGGTCTTTCCACATTAACCGATAGATAAAACTGTAGAGAGAGCAAGTTCTTTAATTTTTCATTTAAAACATCGCAAGCTGTTTCAATTTTAACTTCAGAGGTGGAATCCATCGGATTGGCATAGCTATAATTGCAGTCAATTTTGTATAAGTGTTTCCCTTCTTTATGTAAAACATTTTCCAAGAATAATTTCACCTTCGCTTTCTCCTTCTTGTCCATATACTTGTTCGCGCACTCAATTCTGATTTCGCTCCCTTCGTCATTCATGTCTGTGATGTCTGCGATATCTGCGGCGTCCGAAGAGTGGGACGGATCTTCCGTTGTGTCACCATCTCCGCTTCGGTTTTCATATTTTTCATTTGAACCTTCGTCACTCCTTTTCCCTCCTTTACACGCACTTTGTGGCGATGCCTCCGCTTCTGCTACACCTTTTATTCCTCTTCCCCCTTTGTCATGCCTAATGTGATAAATTTTACTAAAAGTGTAATGGACCCTTTTCCTCAAATTAGAAGAGTTAAATATGTCGATTTCCCGTGGTTTTAATATTTCTTCAAAACACTTGCATATTTTGTCTACTTCTTCGTTTTTCTCGTTTCTGCTTATCTCTTCGAATTTTTTAAAAATTTCCTTATTTATAAAAAGAGAATTAACAAAAATGCATTTGTCGCCATTTTTCGTTTCCCTGTGTGGGCTCAACAAGTGCAACGATTTCATGTGGGAGGCAATAAATATTTTAAAGATTCTTTCGCTTTTGCTCAAATTCAACATAATTTTATCCTCATACAAATTGACATTGTCTGCATGCAAGTGGAGTTTTATAAAGGAACATTTCATGGAACTTAATACATTTTCGAATTGGACAGAGTCCACAAAAAAGTTACTTCTTAAGCCAAAACAGTATTCCCTCTTTTCGCGTAGAATGTTACTCACGTACTGATAATAGTGGTCTCCCTTTTTTTCGTTTTTCCCTACATATGCAGCGCTTAAGTGTTTTAATTTGCTATAATCTCCACAATTCACAATGTCTAAATTGACCCCCTTACAACGCACACTGTCTCCTTTATCCAACTTGTATTCACTTAAAAAACGGGAAATCCCTGGCCATTTCTTCCTCATAATTAAATGATCTATGCACAAGTGGAATGCTTCATTTAAACTGTCATTTATGTGCGCAGCCGAACGCAGCTTCAGGTGAAGGTCATATTTGTTCTTGTTGCTTACTATTACGTATATGGTGCTATTTTCCTTATTCAGTTCGTAGCAGTAGCTTTTGAATAAGTTTGTGGATTCATCTTGAGGGTGGCATTTCCCCTCCTCGTTCATTTTGGCTGGGTTTATTTTGTCTTTTGTTACACTTTTCATCTGCTCCCCCTTCAATTTCCCCCGTTCTCGACCCCTTTCCACGTCCGCCACCCCCACACCTAGCACATCGTGCACCCCTGTGATTTCCCCTCGTTCGTATGTAAAATTCAATTCGCGCTTATTCCTCCTCACAAAATCGATAAAATCGTAATCGACTTTATTGTTCAGCCCATGTACGAGTTTATGTACCCAAACAAATTTCTCCACCCCTTCATATACCTTTCTGTTTGTATGTTCACCCTTATCATGGGAGAAATGGCCATCTGCACGTAAACTTCCCTGGTGAATTATTTCATCGACAGGTTTTTCTTCTTCCTGTGTTCCATCCACATCATTTGTGTGTTTTTCATTTGTGCTCATTTTATCACACATCATTTCCTTTCCTTCAAATGTTGACTCCATTTGGAACACAAATTTTTTAAACTCTGTTAACACATCTTCATCAAAATTGGGGGGAAAAAACTTCTTCATTTGCTCGAAATATTCATTGATTGTTTCTCCCCACACTCTGTCATCCTTTTTTTGTCTTTTTATAAAGTCCAGTTCGTCCATAAGTTCCTTTACAAACGAGTCTGTCCAGTTTGTCTTCATTCCCTTCTCCCCATCTGTCTCATTTCCTACACAAGTAGTGGCCCCCTTTTCACACCATCTGCCCTCACGTACAACCATTTTGACATAGCTCAACAAAGATAGCAATAAGTCTTCTTCTCTCATTAGGACAAAATCAAATGTGTGTCGGGAAAAATAACAAGACACTTTTATAACTTCTCGATAATGAAAATAGTTCAATTTTACTGGAAATTTTAATTTCACAAAATTTTCATCCTTCGTTGTGTCATCATCATGAAAAATCAGCAATCTAAATTCGTGTGTTTTACTTTGATTTCCCTTTACCACATTTGAGTGACAATCCGCCGTGATGATACAGCCGTGTATTTTGCTACCTTCTTCCATGGAAGGTTCTCCTTTCAAAAGGGGACCCTCTTTCATATATTGTGCACTATTTTTCTTAACACAAGAGTGCTTTTCCTCTTTTAATTCTTCCCCACTTTGATAAAAAAAACCCGTGTCCTTTTCCCTTTTCACGTTATTAACCTTCGCAAAGGTGTAGAAGTCTTCATAGTAGTAGTCCAACTTGGCAGTACAATTCCAAACTACCACATACTCCTTTTTATGATAATTATATTCAAATTCCTTCTTGCCCCATTGGCATATTTTATAAGAAATGTCTAACTCGTTTAAATTTTTTACCTTCACGTGGAATGTGTCGCTGCATATTCCTACGTAATTCTTTCCCCTTTTCGTGTTAACAGGGTTACAACTACCTATCTTTTTGTCATATTTTATTTTTACGCTTCCATTTTTGCACTCGCCCTCAATTAAGATGTCTCTTCGAAATTTGTTCCAGTTTATCTGCAGGGGAAATTGGAAGGAATGGTCTGTTAAGTGGCGGGGCGCGAGAAAGATGATGCAAATACGGGTACTCACACATATAAGCCCCAATGGGCACTACTACAAATGATGACAACGTTTTGTGTATCCACTGTTGGTGTCAGTTTTCATCCCCTCACTGGGCATAAAAAAATGCCTCTCTGCACACTACACTGTGCATGCTGCTTTGCCTATCTCGCTTTGCATTACGCTGAGCAGGGGACTTATACTTCCCGCATGCGGAAGGAACACGAAAAAGAGGAAAACCGTTTCTCTTAACGGAAGCAATAACAAATTCGATGGATACATCAAAAGGTGAGCCGCAAACTCTGCCTTGTTGTTATGTATATACAAATCTTTATCTGCATGATATTTGTAAATTCCATGCAACTTGTCACTAAGATGGTTGCAACGAGAAGGTTCTTCCATCAGACTACGCATCTTTCTATTTTCCACAATATATTTTTCCGAACCAAATTCGTAAGAATACCCATGTCCATCAGTACATGCCAAAAATTTATTCTCAAAAAAGTGGATGCAACAATCATATTTAAAAGAACATCTGCACAAGTCGCACTGGTACCCTTCACCTTCCCGCTTAACACAACTCTTGTCTATTTCTTCCTCTAAAAATAAATGAAAGTTTCTCTTGAAATGGTTAAGCAGATCTTCGCGTGTCATTATGCTCCTTTTTTTTTCCTTATTTTTAAAGGCAGACAAATAAAGCATATACATGGTGATGAACCCCCACTGCTTTTCAAACGTCTGGCCCAACTTCAGCAATTTTAAGTCCTTATCTAAGTTTTCAATGTTCACCATGTTGCAAAAACAGTAATGGGAGTAAATGTTGCGGAAGACGAAAGAGTCTCTACTTATTCCAATCCCTTTGCATTTGGTCAATATTCTCGCCTTAACTTTTTTTTCCAGCATATACTTACCCATATAAAAAATTATATTCATATTCATTTCGTGGTATCCGTAATGGTTCACTAGAAAATATAAAAAGATTTTTTTTTTCTCATGTGGTTTTAGGCAGTATTCACCTCCTTCAACTTTGAAAATGGTTACACTTTTATTCTTTACCTTTTTTGTCCACTTCTTACCCCCATCAACCTCTTCCCTTTGCTGCCTTTGCAATGTTCCCACATTTCCCCCCATTTCCTCATTTTCCATTTTAAAAATTTCGTTGGACGTATTCTTAACCAACACGTACATCTTCACCGCATCACTATTTCCCCTTTCGTAAAAATATTTTATAACCCTTTTGTTCAAATTGAGAAAGTGCTCTCTGTGTGGGGGGATACTTGCTTCCCCCATAGTGTCGCCCCCTGTCATATTTTTCTTAATTAACATTTGATGAGTTCCTTTATCTGTGTTTCCCGTTTTATCAACCGCTTTATTCTTCTCCACCTCATTGCCGATCGGTCTATTTTCTGCCCCGTCCCTTATTTTCGTTTTTTCCCGATCGGAACTGCTTCTACCGCTCCTGCTTCTACTCTCCGTGATGCTTTCTTCGCCCCCCTTTTTAGCTAATCTTATGTCACGCATCACATCTACGTAGTTGTAATAGCATATCTGACAAGCATCTTTGTCGGCAGATGGGTCATCCTCTTTCCTTTTACTCTCTGCAACATCGTCGAGGATCCCACCACGGATAGGCGTTTTTTCTTTCTCTTCACACTTCAACGCGTTGGTGTTTTTCCCCTCGACAACTCCTTTATTCTTCTCAAACGAAACGCCCTTTTCCCCTTTAGACAAATCATCCAAAGGAATTAAATTTTTAAAGCAATAATTAACATAAAAATCGCTTGCATTCTTTATAGTAAAACTGGTCTCATATAAATGCAGCGGATTTAGTAAAAGACACTTGGTCAATTTTTTTGTCTTTACATGTACATTGGGATTAACTATATTAGCGTAGACATCCATGCAAAACGCAACGAATTTTTTTTTCTTGTTTTTCTTCCCACAGTAGGTCTTCATATTATTTTGTTTTTTTTTTAAACTTTCATCTTGACTTATTTCGGAGTAGCTCGAACATGTGTCACCCTCCGGTGAAGACGAGTCTTCATACTTTGAAATGTCATTTTCGAATCGTTGATTCCATTTTTTATCCTTAATTATTTTATTCTCCCTAACGCACACTAGCGGAAATCCGCCATTTCCTTCGCCTCCATTTTTTTGTATTTCTAACAAATCACCAATGCTTAAATCCGATCCCTTGCTCAAATTTTTTATAACCAAAAGGAAGCAATAATTTTTGTAATTTTCGTGTTTTTCTTGAGGCCTGAAAATGATATGTATCTTTTGCCTCTTTTTATATGATAAGGTGAATTTTTTTGGGTATATGTACACAGGGCACATTTTCTTTTTTCCCCCCTTCCTTCCTTTCTTCCTTTCTTCCTCCCTCGGTGAGGATTTCCCCTCTGCCAATTTATCGTATAATAAATGAGGACACGCAACATCGAATACCTCGTTGTAGTAGTACACCCCTTTGTCTTCTTTGTCCAAAATGATATGCTTCTCCTCCCTTTGCGAGTTTGCCTTTACGTATACGCTACATGACACTTTTAGGTCAATCAGCCCATTGTTCAGGACCTCCACTTCGGCAACGCTGTATCCGCTGTTAACCTTAAATCAGTGGGGGAAGTACCCTTTGTGTGAATAACCAGTCTGTGGAAACGAACCGACCAGCAGAGGTTACAGCAGCATGAAACTAAGCACACATGTGTAGCGCAACATTACGTTGAACATTGAATGACTACCTGGACGTCCGGAAACCTAATCGAGTGTAAAGAACTGCTGTAGAAAAAGTAACTCAAGTTGTCTCTTTTCCCCCCTTGCAGGTATTCTGCTACCTTCCGTTCGTAACACTCCCCTGTACAAAATAGGAAAAAAAAAAAACGTTTTCTTCCCCTACTTCATCTTTACTTTGATCCACATTTTTGAGAAACTTATAGTACAAAGAAAGGAACAAAGGAAAACGGGCAAACCCACCTGGCACATTCCCATTTATATGTACCAAATTTAAGAGCAGCGGCTCCACCAAGGCCTTAACACAAAACGGAAAAACGTTCATTTGGTTCCATTTCAAAAATTCACATTTTCTTTTGTCTTCCAATTCGCCAAAGTCGCATTCGATGTCCGTTACGATGAGGTAATCCTTCTCGTAAACTCCTATTTTGCCGCTTCTGCGTTGGTGGAGGTTGTGCAGGAGTACATGCATAAGATAGCATTTGTAAACACGAGTAAAAATATGTGTATATATCCAAAGTACCCTAATTCTCCTTCCAATGAATGTCTTATAAGTATGACTCCCCCCACACACAAACTGAACGCCTTTTTCGAAGACAAAGCGCACAGCGGAAGAATGCAAAGTGCCTATTCTCCACCCATACCTAAAGGCAAAAGTAACGACCTTCTCCTCTCCCCTTTTCAAGTTCAAATAATAACAATCTTGCAAAATATTCTCAAAATATAGTTTCTCAAAATTATGGGACAAATATTTATATAAGTAGAGAAAATTCTGAGAGTAACTTTTTACATTATTGAATGTGTAGTACGTGTCTTCCTTTTCCGTCACTTGAATAATTTCTCCAGCTCCGTCACGTGCCCCAATTTGGCAAGCCTCGCTTGAATCTTCCTTCCTCTTTATGAGCAAATTTAGTATGTTTTCCTCCCTTGCAATTTTCTCCTGTGTTTCGTAAAAGCTAAATAGCTTCCTTGGTAATATGAGTACGTTGGTTTCTTCTCCTTCGTTCGTGATATAAAATCTGGTACACAGGGGGGAGGGGATAAAATGCGAAGAAAAACAATTAATTGGGTGAACATCACAAATGGTTACAATTGTATGAAGGTTGTAGAGAACTGTCTTGGAGACCTCACGACACGCTCTTTTATTCATTCCATTTGTTTTTTTTTTTTTTTTCCCAAATTGATTACGATCTTTTTTTCTTCTCGTGAGACCGAATGGGTCCAAAATTGAAAATTGTGTGGAACTTTATTTTTGGAATTGAACGGAACGCTTTTATCTGCAAAGGGAGTAACACCGCAGCATGCCCTTTTTGTGGGAAGTTTCCGGCAAGACGCAATTCGTTTGGGGCAAAAAACTGACAATTCATATAAAAGCGAAATGTCGCACATATATACATGCACATTTAGTGTACACTCGCGTGTTCTAATTCGCCCTGCTTTTTTGTCTTTTTTTTCTCATTTTAATTATATGTACGTGTATCGTCTTGTTCCCGCCTTCTGACTGTATTTTTATTTGGTCGCTTTGATGCTTCAGGGTGAAAACGCTGTAACCTATTTTGATCTGCCCAAGGGAAAAAAAAAAAAAAAAAAAAAAAAAAAAGAGGGGGTGAAAAATGTCGTGTATTTGTCCTCATAGAGGTTAATGAACACATGTTGTGATGCAGACCATATTGATTGCTCCCTCCTTACCTTCAAGGAATGTCCAGGCGCTATTTGATTGTTCAAATTATTCTTCGAGTTCTCCTCATTTTTGTTGTACACATTAATGATATCTTTTATGTGAAAGTGGCTCGTTGATGGTGGCACTATGATGACGTGTAGGAGCGTACTTCCTTTGTTCGTTATTAGCAGGTCTTTCGTCATCGTTTCATCTTTGGTTACGTCTGTAAAGTACTTTGTTGAGGGGCAGCACAGTACACATATATGTGTAGCGAGGTGTTCGTTTAAACGCATTTCCCAACCTGCCTAATATATTTTCCGCTTGTTCTCTCCCGTTCTGAAAAACACGTACTGTGCCCATATGCGCGACCTCCAACTTACTACTGTAGTGGGACTAATACACAAGTAGTCATTCAAATCCTCCGTTTTGGACAAATTCAATCTGGGGTTCTTTAAATAATTAAGGAACGTATTTTCCTTTTCTTGATATTTTTTTATTTCCTCCTTCTGTTCTTCTACTTCCTTTTTTAAATCTTCGTCTTTTTTCTTTTTGTACTGCTTTTCCAATTTGAGCATGTACTTTTTCATATACTTATCTTTTTCTTCGTTGCTCAGCTTGCTATTTTTCGGTTCATAATTATGCAATAAAAAAAAAAAAAAAAAAAAAAACAGGGAGTGTGTAAAATTTGCCTCAACAGAAATTTACACACTAATGTAATGCTGCTTAATTTTTGTCTAAACAATGTTTACTATTTTTCAATTTTTTTCTGCTTCTTCAGCTTGTAGGACAGGGTTTCCTTTTCCTGCGATGGAAAAGAAAGAAAAAAAAAAAAAAAAGTGCACCATTGCAGAAGATGCGAAATGAAACCACGCCTGAACTATGCCGAATGGGTAGAGTAAATCTGTGGACGTAGCCTCCAAATAAGTTGACACGATATTTCAAAAGTGGGTCATTCCAGGCACACTTCTAAGGCATAAACAAACTGTGGAATTACTCATCAACACAGTAACGAATATGTACGCAATATCGCAATCACCACCACCCCAAAAAATAAAAAAAAAAAAAAGAAAAACACTGCATCATTTTAAACCCTGAAAATGTTAAGTTTATGGGTATACAAATATTTTCTTATTACTTCAATATTGATATGGGAGGTCACTTCACCCTTAGTTCCAGCCTTTAAACTGTCGGGCCCATTTGGTGTTCCCTTATTATTTTCCTTTTTATTTCCAATGTTCATAACAAGGTCGTCCATTCTCTGCTTCTTCATTTTAAGTCCTTTCATATCTTCTAAAAATTGGACACTTTTGTTGAGCTCATTCACATGGAAACCGTTCCCCTTTTCCGCTGCAAAAAAATCTGTTCTTTTAAGAGGTGATATTTCGCCTATACTCTTTGGAAGATTGCTTTCGAAAATTTCATCATTTTTCAGGTTAGTCAACTTAAATTCATTTGAAGGGGACAGCGTCGTATCATCTTCCTCTCCGTTATTAGTTTTGCAACCCTGTGTGTACCGTCGCACCATTTCACTTCTTCCCTTATCTGCAATGTGTAACATTCGGACGACATGGTGTACACAAACTCTTGCGTATACACTCATGTGTGTCCGTGTGAACGTGCATATGTATGTGTATTATCCCCGTCACAAGAATGTCATACTATTCTTATTACTTGTATTGTTCCCATTATGAGGGAGCTTATCAACCTCCTTTTTCATTTTCCTCCCATTTATTTCTTCACTCCCCACATCCTCAGTGAAGGGCATTTCGTTAGGAACCGGGTCATCATTTTCGTCCTTTTCAATATATCTAGTTTGTGCATTCACATCCCAGTCGGATGTCTTTATCAACTTTGCACCCGCCGTTTCATCTTCTTTCTTCTCCTTTCGCAAACCCTTTTTAGAAGCCTTATCCTTTTTTCCCTTCTTTTTCTTGTCCATGTTTTATATTTCCATGTCTTTTAACCATATGGAGATGGGCAACATGAAAATTCTTTCTCTCCAAAGGAGACAAAAAGATTACTCATGTATAGACACCTATATTAATAACTACACAGTGACATTTCTGTTCCTATTAAAATGCGCTAACAGATACATATCATTTTTTTGCAGCGAATTTTATGGTATGTAAATTTTTCTTTTTTATATATCAAATGTGTTTGTGCGTTTTTTTTGAAAAATGCGCATATGACATGGGAGAATAATTGCACAAAAAAAAAAAAAAAAAAAAAAAAAAAATATCAATAAAAGGTAAAGAAAAGGCTATGCGACATACAAAAGCATAATAAATTGCCAATCAAACGAACAAAAAAAGAAGAGAATAAACTAAAGAGAGGCACCAAAAAATCGCGTTTCAAATCGTACGTGATGTCATGCCATACGTGTGCTTGGACCTACATGGACGCACAAATTTAAAGGCATATTAATGCCTATCCACTATTGAGAAATGGCTCTATGCATGAGCACTCAAAGTAGGGTCCCGTACGGCCATTCTCCAAGATGTTTACATGAGCATAAATAAGACGCTGGACACACAAAAAAAGTCGACAAATTGTTACTACGCAAAGTGTACAACGGGGTGAGTATTATCACCTGCGTTGTCTTCCCCCCCATTTGCATGCGTATTCGGTGTGAAGAGAAGTAGAATGCCACTGAAAGACAAAACTATGAACTAACGTATCATCCATCCCCGCAAAACAGTCAACGCTTCTTCCTTTTTATGAACGGAAAAAACGACGTCAATTTGGGTTGGTTGTTATCATTGGTATTTTTTCCCCCTCCAATATTACCTCCTACAATTTGCTTCCGCGTGTGATTCGTTTTTTCGCCCCGTTTGGATATTTTTTTATTGCTGACCAAACAACGCTCATCAGATATTTTTAAAAAATTTAGTAGTTCCCTCTGTAAGTTCAAGCACGAGTTGAAAATGTTTAGGATCCTCGTCTTTTCCTTCAGGTTATAAAACACAGTAGGGATTATATTACAAGGCTTGATAGATTTTACAAAGTTTTCCAATTCTGATAAATTGGAATGTTCACTGTATGGGATTAAAAAAATGGAGATTTCATCTTTTTGATAAAAGGAATATTTTTTCACCCATCCTGTGGGGATAATATAATAGAAGGAATCAAATTCTTTTTCGATTTCTTCGTCTATTAAATTTTTAAATTTATTTTTTTCAATTCTGGGGAATATATACGAGTAATTTATGTCTACTATGTGGATCTGCGCTTCCAACTTATTGTCTGTTATTCTACTTAACATACTTTTATTGTGTAAAAAGGACTCAATTATGGTTTTCTTCTTTTCATTCCTAAAATGTATTTTCATATTGCACGCCTCGGATACGCTTAGGTAAATTTTTTCCTTCCCCAGGTTGTAAGTTCCGAACATGAATAGGGTTTTCTTTGGGGCATTCCCTGCTCCCCTAGATCTCTTCTTATCCCTACCCCCCACTGCATTGGCTTCGCTCTTTTCCGCGCCATGTGCGGTTATCCCCTTCTGTTCATCGCTACTTGTTCTATCAACTTTTCCTCCACATCCCTCTTCCTTATATTTATGCGCGCGGGTTCGTTTGCCTGTCCTAGCCAGGTTACACTTGGGCTTCTCCCCTGTCTCTACCACGGCTCCCACCGATTCGGCCGAGTCTTCTCTCATTTTCTTCTTACATATATAAATAATAAAATTAATCAAATACATCTGCGGCGCGAACAAATTATTTTTCGACAAAGCATACGTTGTGTCCAGGTAAATGGTCCTTATATAATTTGAGTCTTCTTCCGATTCGTTCACGTCACAAGGAGTATTTATTTTTTCCCCACCCTGACTATCTTCCACCTTGATGAGATAATTCTCGCTTTCTTTTTTCGCTTTTACCACCGTCTTCTCTTCTTCCATGATATTCTCATGTGTAACCCGAGACTCGTTCAAGTTGATATCCTCTTCCTTTTTTACCTTTCCGTTTTCTCCGTTCATCCCATCACACTTGACTCCATTTTTTTTACTATGATTAAATGCGGAGTTATCGCACACATGGTCAACCAACTCCCTTTTCACCAAAATTGAGGATTTTTTTCCGTTCGGATTCATTCCATCTTCTAACTTTTCTTCATCAGAAATAGCGACAAAGCGAATGTTCTTTACATTTTCCTCGTTAATTATCACGTTCTCATTTAGCCTTTTATTGTCATCATACAAAAGCAATATTTCCACGTCGTTCTGATTAAAATACAGAGACAAATCTACGTAAATGAAAAAGTTAAAATAATTTTCCTTTTCAATGGAATCGTACAAATAAAATTCTTTTCCCACATATTTAAGTCCGCAAATGAAATCTTCAATGTTTTTTAAATAAGCTATTCTAAACTCTTCAAAATTTACTATATAACTGTTTCCTTTATAAATATTTAAATGTTCGCTACTAAAATGGATCTTGTATGGATTTCCATTCCAGGACAAGCTCGTCTTGATCCCGATGGACAACTCCCCTTCGTTGGTTTGTTCCTCCCATTTTGTAGAACTCAACGTGTCCAATTTAAACCCTAAACCTTCTTCATTCCTTTTACAACTTAATACTTTTTTTATTAAAAAGGTATGAACATTGGAATAGCGGAAATCGCCTGTGTGGATAATTTTTGTTCCATTTGCAAATGCAAAATAGATTATTACAGATCCAGGACAATGATTTGCATCGATAAAAATTATTTCGAAATTGAAAAGTTGATAATTCTTATTAATTTTTAAATTGTGTATATACTTTTCATTTACTCCAATTATGTTTGTTAATAACTTTTTCGTTATGGTCGAGGAGAAGACGTTCTCGTGGAAGTATTTATTTATGTTGCTGTAATGATCGGCGTGGAAATGAGTCAAGAAATATATCTGCGTGATTTTTTTTTTTTCTTCTTTTTCTTCCTGTTCTTTGTCTAGAAAGGGGGAAGTTGCACATAAAATGGGAGAGGGATAAATATTAAAAAATAATGTGCTAAAATGGGGGTAGACGATTTTCACGCATGTAGACAAACAAGCATATTTCAAAAATATATTTCTACACAAGAGTGATGTTCACCCTGGAAGATTTGTGCTAGAACGTTTTTTTTTTTTTTTTCCCCCCTCTTCACAGTCATGCACGATACAGCGATATCAAAACGGGTGTGCACAACATGTGTAAATAAATATATGCCTAAAATCAAACACGCAGGTCCTCGTGCCCCTGGCTCCATACCGGTGATTCTATCCTTCTTCCTCGTGTAGGGGAATTTATCTACGATAATGAGCGGGTCATTCTGTATCACATGTATGTTATCCTCAACCATTCTGTTAACTTTTGCGCTTCACCCTTTTTAAAAATGTTTCTACTTCTTTTCCTGTGTGCTTTGTTTCCAACGATATGTGTTCCAGCGATGTCAAACGAAAGGAACTGAAGCAACCAAGGAAGAGAACAAAACGGAAGCAACGAAAGGAACGTAAGCGTGTCGCGTAAGCATTTGTTACATTTTTGCCCCCAATAAAGTTCATTCCTGACCTAATCATTGAACGAATACCGCGTTATAATGCGACCAGTTCCTTCATTTTTTTTCCTAACGAAGAATGACATATTTTGCATGACAAAGGGAAGGGCGGCTAACACATTATATTTTATTCATTCGCCGCATACACAAATATATATATTCTTATTTTTACACTCTTACCACTTGTTCCTCCTCAACGTTGTGTTTGCTTGGCCAAAAGAGCATAAGAGGACCAACTGGGCAAGATGAAACAATTTGCTTTACCCTTTTGATTATCGGGTTATATTTCCACCTTTATGGACTTCATTCAAAAGTGTCCACGCTAATCGCCGTTTTTTGCACACATCGGTAAGCACCCTTTTTTGTGTTGCCTAGCACATGACAAGAAAGCAAAAACAGTTTTGTCGTTTGACCCCTTTTCGCTTTAAATACCTTATGACCGCACTTCAGATAAGAGAGAGTGAACGTTTTCTGCGTTTCTCAGAAATGAGGAGCAATAACGACATCACGGTTAAGCGCTCACCCTGTACATGCATATATACATACACCCGTTTGTAAGGGCAAGGCAACCTTCTTTTTTTTTTTTTTCCGACCACGCGGGTATCCATAATTGGCGAAAACACACCTCATCACAGCCAACAGTGCTACAACAGTTGTTTTGTTCTACAACCTCTAAAAGAAGAAAGAGCACGTCCCCAAAAAGTTCAAAAGCGCGCATTGAGGAAATTGCCCGTTGTAAGCATGACTGTAATGCTTAAAACTTATATTACAATATTTTGCACACGTCGACATAACAACAATTTCGTTTCGTCCTTTTAACTTTACAAATATGTTCGTTTTCCTTCACATTTGAATAATTATCCTATTCTCAAAAGTATAACAAAAAAAATAAAAGCCTAAACTTACACCCCTACGTCCAAACACCATTTTCGGATGACTACAAGGCAGGTACAAAAAAAAAAAAAAAAAAAAAAAAATGCCTCCTCAAGATTCTACCGTGGTAAAAATATTCTCAGTTGTAACCGCAAAGAGACTAAAAAATTTCTCTCCAAAGAGCATCAAAAAACAGAATCGACGTGCAAACCAAAATAGTACATAAATTTATGTGTTACTAAACATGCCTCTATAAGATTTAACTCTGCCGCTTTTGTTAAAATAAAAAAAAGAAATTCACTGACTCCCATTTGAACCATCTACCTCTGAAACATAATTTAAAAAAAAAAAAAAAAAAAAAAAGTGTAAAGCTTTTTTTAATATGCTGTCTTCCCCTGTAAAAAGGAATAAGCCTTGTTTTTTTCTTTTCATCCCTTCCCTTCATATACGCATGTTTTTATATATCCCCCTGTTAGACATCCCTTAATTTCTCATCAGTTTGGAAGAAATGGACATTTCTCCTTTGTTCTTTCGAGAGATATTAGAAAGTTCTTTTTAAACTTAAACTCAAACTCTTCGTAATCTAAATGGGGGAAAGATGTGTAGCCTTGTTTTTTTTTTTTTTTTTTTTTTTTTTTTTGCACGAAATTTAGGACTTTAAATTCATGCTACAAATTTTGTGCGCAGGGAAAATATCGCAAAAATGAAAAAAAAAGGAATAATTACAAAAGAGGCACAAAAGGAGGAGAGTACTGAATAATGTATGCGTAGAAAAAATGTTTTCCTTATGCGCTCTCTTCCTCATCTGAATGAACTTTGAACGTGCTCTTCATCTTATCACGCGCACGAGCACCCATAGTTTAACAAACTGCGTCTTTGCCCATTATATATCCCCATTGCATATGTGCGCTCTTCCCCATGGAAACCTTAACAGTTGTGTAGAAGCTACAAAGCATACTTCTTTCTTCTAAGGGACAAAGCATTCCTAGAAGAATTTTAATACAAAAATGTAAAAATATTATTAGATTAAAAAGTGACAGATGTAGTACTTATCCTTTTATATACTCCCTTTTGTTGTTCTAACATTATTTACAATTGTTATTGTAGTGGTTAGAGGCGGAATAACGTATTCCACATGGTCATACTAATACGTACAGACACTGTTTACACATCTGCTCAGCAACCCACCGATCATTAACAACCCCGCATCATTCCAACGTGCCAGTCAAAATGAACGACGATAAGCTGAGCAGCCTTATTCAAAAAATAGGTACATCTAGATATGCCTCTTTTGGAAAAAAAAAAAAAAAAAAAAAAAAGTGAATATTTCCGTGGACATAAAAAATACACACTATGTCGTGTCCTTGAAAAATGTGCCAATTTTATTTTCTCATCACGAAAGGAACAACAACGCCTACGCTTGCATGTTCGCCGGCACCTCCGCCGCCTTTAGCATTACAAAAATGAGCACATAAAGGAACACACAACGGAAACCTTTCCGCGCTGCCTCCACTTTAGGGCACACTATAGATGACATCCGAGACAGGTCAATGATTATGCTAATACAAAAATATGAAAAAGGCATAATAAGCGAAACGGACTTTAAGAAAAGAAATTATTTTTTTGATATTATTCTTCGCTACATTAACGATAGAAACAGCTCTATTCCTTTAAAAGACCTGATCCACGTTTTGGACTTCGTTCGGTGCATAATAGAGGTAACAAAAAAAAAAAAAAAAAAAAGTGCACCCCCTTTGTGGAAAAAAATAAGTTGAGCATCATATCAACTTCGCTCCTGCGTAGTAGTTTTCTATTTTCTCACAGATACAGTAGTGTATATATGTGTTACATACAAGGCTCTCATGTGTATCCCCCTCACTACTGTGCCGTAATACCTTCTATTAGTGCGTTTAATTCGCCGTCTTCCCCGTCGCATATGCCTTCCTTGTGCATCTTTCAAACACATGCACTCTGTACCATTCGTGCGACAAGGAGCTTATCCGCTCCGATGCTCATTCCCACCCTCTCTACCACACTGCCGCGCAGAAGGATGAAGAAGTCAAAAGTAAATTCGAACAATTCGGAATACACACATTCACCAAGGAGTTTTTAACCCACCTTAGAGGTAACGAAGACAAGTACAAAAAGAATAGTGCCGCCAAAAAATTAAACCTTGCACAGGATACAGATACGTGCCTCATAAACTATGAGCACATGCAGATGCAAAGCAGTAACAATGAATACAACCATGTGGTCAAAATTCTGATCCAGCTGATTCGTGCATACAATGGGGAAAACCCAGAGGACTTCTCAAAATGCGATACTCAGGAATATACACCTATGATGGATGTAAATAATGCCCCCAATGATCTACGTAATGCAAATGGGGGGAACAACAATGGAGAGGCCACATCAGCGGAAGCCATCGGAGAGGCAGACGCACAGGAAAATCCCAAGTACAAAGACAACGTAATGGAAAAGACAAGCAACATCATGGACATAAATAAAGAAGAAGACCAATACAAAGCTACACGAAAAAAAAGCTCTTCCGTTGAAGACCCAAGAAGTATGCATCCTCGGCTGAGGCAACACTCCCCTGAGAAGGCAAAGGAGAACACAAAAAAAAACACCGCACATTCGCATAACAACGCAGACAGCACACTTTCACAAAAGGATGTCCTACATATAAGCCAAATAATGGAAAAAAATAACTGCATAAACATATTTACAAAAAATAATTTTTCCAAAAGTGAAGATTTTCAGTACTACAACTCTTTATATGAAGCAAAAAACGAAGTGAATAAGCGGAGTATATATTTGCTCCTCACCTATAAGATATATAAGACCAACAAAATAAGGGAAGGACATGCTTACCTGAACCACGGATCGGCACCTACACGGGGAACTACCAAAAGCTACTGCAATTGTGAAGAATGTTATTACGCACACATTTTGAATAGCTACACATTTTTCTACTTATACAACTTCTTCGACTGCTTCGATATGTTCAAAAAGAACTTCCTAGACATAAACGGGGTAGAACATGTGGAACATGCGGAACAGGAGCCGAAAGAGGGAGACTCCTTAAAAGGGGGTGTGGGGAAAAACGAACAACATAGAAGCAGAGAAGGGGAAGATTCCATCGTGGCATATTTCACCTACCTAAATAATAAACACGTATATAACAAAAACATAACCTACAAAATAAAAAATTACATTAACAAAATGAATCTGCTCCATTTCTACCTGAGCATGAAGTTCAACTACTTCGAATGTTTAGGGATGAATATAATAAAAAAAATAATAAGCATAGATGACCTAATTTATATGCACAAACAAGTGAACAAAATTTTAAATGAATATATTTACATTTTCAATAAAGACATATTTCTGTTTAACTATAAATTTGTATACACACTTAGTTACAATATTCAATATATTTACAAAAATTACGTTGAAAATAATCAGGCACAAAGTGAATTCCATCATATGAACAACCTTTTAAATAGTCTAGCTTATCTTATTTTTATAATTATTTATAGCCTTTACATAAGTGTGACCCAGAGCCGAGGGTGCCTTTGCAATAGCATCCACAATATCTACCTTAACAACTTCTTTTTCCTCATTAACCAAAATGTGTTCTACTTACTTTTGCTTCGAAAAGGGGGCAAACAAATCGGTACACAGTTCATGTATGGCCATAATAGGGATAAGATGGCCAGTGAAAAGGGGAAAGGCCCCCCTCAATCGGCAAACAACGCCAGAGAGACAAATGGGACAAACGATGCCAACAATACAAAGGACCTCAATAGCATAAACAAATTTTACCTTAGGAAAAATGAAGACAGGGCGATTCGCAAATCGGGGGACACCACCACTGCCCATTTCAACGAGGGAGACACATACTACTACTTATTCATAACGAAAAACAATTGCGTCTATTTTTTCAAAGTGTTAATTTTCTTCATGCTAGAAATTTTAAAATTCTCGCATTGCAAAATTAGCAGCATAAAGGAAAAATGCACCACGCTCAATTTCCACATAGACAATTTTGTCATCATTTACAATTTCCTCAGTAACGTCTTAGAATACTACTTCGACGAGTCAGGTAAACAGAAGGACTCACACTTGGAGATCCTCATTGACTACATTGAAGAGAACAACCTCCATGGGCGTGCAGATAAAAAGGCAAAACAAAATGGGGTCCCTTTTAGGGAGTACCTTTCAGAAAATGTAAGCATCCAAGAGTTGAACAGCTTTTCTTCCTCCTCTTCCAACTCCTCTAGTGACTTAAAAAAAAACAAATTTCAAAGCATTGATATATTTACTAATACTGCCCTTCGCCGTACTTACCAATACAGTCCTAAACAATTGGAGCTTCTGAAAATCGTCTGCCTCTACATAAACTACACCCCCGTATCATTCATTCTGATGAAGAAGATACAACCCAAATTAGTAGACCTATTCAGAGGGTTCCTCTTCGACATGCACCTAAACACGCACTACTTAGAATTGTTGCACTTTTTCCAAATTTTTTTTTTCTTTTATGACTACGAAATTTATAAGGAGTACATCGATCTCCTGTCCTATTTATACTCCTTGTCCAATTTGTTTTTCGTCTATCATGGTGTTGGCGACGTTGGCGGGACTACCTCCTTTGGCGGAGACACCTTCCGGTCAGATATCTCCACCTTCATAAACACCAGCAATAACATCTTCCACTTTTTTTTCTTCGTCCCAACTAGTTACTCCGCCCTCAATGGTTTTCTTGAAAAGTATCACGCAGAGAACGCCGCAGCAGACTTACCCGCCCCACATCCCAACGAAATGTTCTCAAGTCCGGTCGACGCAAATAATGAGCCATGTCTTAATCCCCTAGAGACATTCAAATCGCAAGACTTTTTCGATTCCCCCAATACGGAGACGATGAGCAAAACCATCAATTCACACAGTAGACATGAAAATGAGGCATCGCACTGTATAAGACAATTTTGCCATGTTTTGCTACAAGTAAGCGAAGACATAAAAAATGGGAAGTGCAAAAACGGGCTATTAAAAAATGAACTGCGTGAAAACGAGTGGTGCAAAAATCAAATGGACAATTTCACACATGAACAGTCGCTCCCAGTTACCGGCGCTGAAAGGGACTTCCCCCACTTCGATGCCGAATTTATTGACAAAGTTACCCAAGTGCTGCTTCAAAACAGCCTCATAATTCTCTTTAATTCGCTGTCGCTTCTCTCGTCTGAATATAACAACTTCAAAAATTATGTCAAGTCGGATAAAGAAGAAAACGGATCCATGTACCAATTCATTGTTAATAAGTTAAAGAGATGCAAAAATAAAATGTACATACTAACGCTTAACCACAACTCGGAAGGTAGAACGAATGTCCCAGAATATATCAAGTCCGTCGAACTGTTTAAAAACTTTGTCCTGCTCCTGCACAACATCATTTCGATCATGTATAGCTACAACATGGAAATTATTTATTTTTTTTTTAATTTTATTTTTAATATTAATTATGAACAAGGGTCCTTTGACTGGGAAAATAATAGCCCAAGAGGGGATCCGCCCGGGGTTCACACCTCTGTCCGTAATTACAATTACCAAATGGGCTGGGGAAACGAAGGGGGGGACTTGTCCTATGGAGACCTCGATCTTAATGCCATTTCCGAAAAAGGAATGGACAGGGGAAACGTCTCCAAAAATGCACACATAACATATTCTACCCCTTCACAAAATGACCTAATGAACCAAAATAATCGCCACAGTGTTATCTACAGCCATAGAGAGACAAACCAGCCCGAGCATCCCAAGACGTATCAAGACACTCAGTACATTACCCCTATCTTTGCTCAAAGGAGCGATAATTATCGTCAAAATGAGCAGGAAAATCATTTCGGTAAGGAAAAGGGAAATAATTTACTAGGGACAGACATCTCTCGAGAATATGCCTCCAAAAATGTGGGCCCATTCGTTCAGCAAGAACCAACCAAGTGGGAAGCCTCCCAAACGGTGCACTCCAAATTTGACATGACCCCTAAACCCTATCTGAACAATTGCTCGAATAATGACATACCCTGGAAATCCACTCACCATGGAGGGAAGACAAAAGGCAAATCGCCAAATTTGTACACCCCCACATTCCAAATCAACGAATTCATTGACATCATATACGAACTCTGCATATATAGCAAAAAGGAAATAAAAAATTATTATCTCTTTTTTATACTCGAAAATATAAAGAAAAGAGTGGAGACCCTATTTGATTCCCTTAAGGACAAAGAACGGAAGGACAAAAAGGGGCTCTTGTCAAATATTAAGCTTTTCTCTAAAGTCATCCTGTTCTTGTATTACTCTAAAAAGAAGTACATACTCTTGCTCGAGCAGGACGCTTACCACGCGTTCAACTTTTTGTATGACCACAATTTTGAGCCAATCCTTGCAGGTAGCGGTCGTGATAACGGCAACTGTGACAATGGCAACCGCAACAGTGGCAACGATAGCGGCGAAGTGCCCCGTGGCAGGGGGGGAAAACACGAAACGGATCAGAAAGCATTGATCACCCTCGCCTACTTCTACAAGAACGTCTTCATAAACGTGCACAGTTTGTATTTCCTGCTGTTTCAAAGGAAGAAGAAAAAGAGGACTATGTCTCTTAAAATCATGTGGAAATTGCATCACCAATTTAGACTAAAATTCACCAAGTGGTGGGGCAACACGAAGAAAGATACCTCACCAAACGGTACGATGAAACGGGAGGAAATGCAAAGTGGGATGGAACAGAAACAACATAATATTCGCGAAGAAAGCAAAATAACGTGGAAGTACAAAGAAGACCCTATAAAAAACCAACGACATGAACACTCTCCAAAAAAGCAAAACCACCACAACCAGTGCCATAACACCTTTAGCTATGCAAACGATTGGAAATTTAACACCAATATGTTAAATATGTACATAAGCCATTTTGTACTTAATCATATTCTTAGCGACGAAGCGCTTATCATTCAAACGTTACAGAAAGTAGACATGAACCCGGAGGAATTATGCCTGGACTTTTTCGAACACATCATGTCATTTATTTTGAAGAGAAAAGCAAAATTTAGAGCAGATGACACTTTCGTAGGAAACACTACAGGAAATAAAACCCAAAGGGGAGATCCACCCCACATCGATAATTTACTTCTGGCAATGTACGAGAAAATAAAACGTTTGTACACAAAACTGATAGGGGAAATACTTGCCAAGGAGCACACCAGTGCATACAATATTGAAACGTTTGTCTACGTCCTAAAAATACTAATTTTGTTGATCATCACGAACTATAGAAATAGCAGCATATGCAAAAGAATATACAAGGATAGGTACTTTTATCTATCCCACTTGTTCTGCTTCTTCTTTTACGATAATGAGATTGTTAAAGCTTTATCCATCAGCTTGAGTTTCTACTTGATATTCGATCAAAACATCTTGCTACTGAACAAGCACAGAATATTTCTCGAACCACATTTGCTACAAGAACAGAAAAGTAGAAAAGGTGATATGGGCTTAGAAACGGATGACTACTCTCCTAATTCCTTAACTGAAGAAATAAATAGGCCTCATCACAACTGCAAGAACATATTAGAGAATTCTTTAATTAACGAAGTAAAGGTAGAATATATGGAGGGCTACTACAAAGGGGGCGGCAAAAGTATCACTAACAGGTGTGGCGACGGAAATGAAGTAGTCCATTGGGAGACATCTAAAAAATATGATAACATTACTTTTAACCCCTACAAAAATATATACAACAGAAAAGACACAAGCAGGAATAAATACATTGATAAAGAAATGCAGCCCAATCAGATGGACGAAGTAAACAAGGCCTCATTTCATATAGAGAAAAAAATCCTTTTCTTCCTTCCCTTTTGGCTTTATAAAAAACTACAGCCCAATAATTTTCTGCTAAACGTTAAAAAGTTAAAATCTTTTTTTTTCTTCTCCACCAAATATTCCTACCTGCATGAGTTCCATGACGCCAAATTAAATCTGAAGTCAAAGCAGTTATCCTTGCACGGAAACTACAGCGGTGGTAATATATTCAGATCATACTTTCTTTTCATTAATAAGTATTATCATTTGTCAAAAAGGGTGACCACTGCACCAGGTGGAAATGTCTCTCCTCCTTCGACTCACAAAAGTAGCAACCAGTCTATTTGGAGCAGTATCATCGACTCCACTGATAAATTAGAGACCCACAGATTTCCCATTTCGAATGCCAATTCTTTTCTTTTTTTAAATTCCAAAGTGGATATAAAGCACACTTCCCCAAATGGGTCCTCCTATGTTTCCAATTTGATAAAAGTGTTAAAAGTCCTGCCACCTATAAACGACTCTACAGATAAAGAAACAAAATTTTCTTACATCTACAATTTGAGCGAGTTATTTTTCTACCTGAACAATTGTTATATGCAGTTACTGTGCACCGAAGGCGGAAATACCCATTCTGCGGACGCCCACAGCGCATGTAATCAAGTGAGCTACACAACAGGCTACGAATCAGACAAACGAGATGATGTTCAAGGCACATCTTCAAGTAGAAAAAGTACTCCAATTGGACCAACACAAAGGAACAATAGCGCAAATTGGAGGGAAAAAACCACCTCAAACAAGAAAACAAATTACCTCCTCCAAAGCGACTACGATGAAATGATGAGTGCCATACATTTCGTTTACACCATCATTTTCCCGTATATTAACAAGCTTATTTTTTTCATGTACAACCAGTTGACAATAAATAACAAGGGTGCAGATAGACCGAGCAGTGTGGAGAATGAAACAAGCACAAACGCCATCATTCATTCGAACATGCTGTTACTAAAACATTTAATAACCCTCTTCGACGTATGCCTATACATACAATTAATACTAGAGAAAAAAAGAAACATGGAAATAAAAATTCACCACCTAGACAATGATATGGACCTTTCCCTTTTCATCTACAAATTGCTGTTCATATCAATTGCAACATCATCTTTGAAAAATAAAATCTCCAGCTTTTCCCTCAACTTACTTTACAATTTTGTGCACCTGGATGATTACTACGTTAAGATGAAGAATAACTGCCATAACAATTTCCCCAGTGATGCTGATCGGCTAACATGTACGAACAGTACAGATAGAACCGACCACCTTGATGGTAGCAACTTCAACCGGCTGGATGCAGGAGCGGAAAACCCCATGTTAATCAAAAAGAAGCGACGCATCAGAAGTAAGCGAATGGAGAGAAGGAAAAACTTGTCTATTCTGGTCAATTTTCTTTTCTTCATACTTTCGAAATATAGGAAGAAAAAAAAAATTAGCCAAGGAGAGTCAACACGGACAAACGCAAACGCAAACATCTACTCCAACATAATAAATGTGTATGAAATCGAGAAGACCATCAATGTAGAGAATGTCACATTTCAGAACCACGAACAGGAGTATCTCAAATTAGACATTTACTTTGTGAAAAACATTTTGTCCATGCTTCACGTAGTGCTGAGGCGGGGCTGTTTTTTTGACCTGCACTTGGTCAATGAAGACATATTAAAAATAAGCATGGACGTGCTAATGCACCATGATTTTGAGTCTTTTACGCAGGGAAGGGGAGAGTACCAAACGAGGTCAAAGGCTAACTTGGAAACTCCCTTAAATGAGAACGAAGATGGGGATAATACGACCCACCCACGAAGCGACACACAAAAGGCCGAACACGACAATATTGGGACATACCCCAAAGGAAGAACAAACCTGCACATATTCAAACAAGTCTTCCTAAACAAATACATGAGCACGCTGATAAACTTTTGTAACATTTACAACGACATCGTTATCGAATGTTTGCATGTCCAAGTGCTACTCCTTTTTTTCAAGTATATCCTCCAAGTATTAAAGTACGAAATCTGGAAGCTTCATTTTTTTAAAAACTCTAACAATTCAAAGCAACATATCTTAGTGCATTTTCTAAAATACTACAAAGCGGACAAGGAAGTGTGCAAATTCTTAAAAAAGGCCTATTTTGTCATTTTAAAATATGCAATATATATGCAGAATATTCGCATATGTGAAGATGTGCATATCCCTTTTAATGAGGGCAAAAATGTTTCAGAAGGGAAGAACGCAGACACCAATGTTGATCAACAGGACGGGCTCATCAACAAACACAACTACCTACTGAAGGAGGAAGATATTTACAAAAATTATTGTCAATTGTTTTATGAGTACACCATAGGTAAGTTTAAAAATTGTGTTGCCAACCATCAGGACGAAACATATATACATTCAAGTGATCACTATGAAGAAGAAGATGATTCTATCAAAGAAAAAATTTACAAACATCAACAGAACCAACTGGCCAATTCCAACTACGTCTGCATGATTGATATGTACTGTCCTCAATGTGAAGAAAACAAAATTCTATTCCTATCCATTGTACTATTCCTGAGCTTTGTCTTAGACAACTTCCCTTTTTTCTTCTGCATAAATAGCTACGTCAACCATTCTGATGAAGAGAAAAGTAGGAATCACAATGAGAATGATAATATCGAAATCTTGTGTGAACGTATTTTCCACTACTTGGGCAAAAAAAATATCTACATCAATTTCCACGTTTTAAAAGAAGCCAAACTGTTTGAGAAATACTTTTTTAAAATATTCTTGAAATTGTTATTCTGCAATGAGAGGGAAACAATGAACAACTTGCAAAAGTACAAAATATATTTTTATCACAGAAAATTTGAATCGGTGCACCAGGGTGGGCAGAGCGGCAAGACAACTGCAAACATATGTACGTCAGGTATAACGGAAAACCAATCGATCAACCTCACAAATAGCGGTGAGAATACAACGGAGAAAGACAATGATAGCAAAAACTCGGGCAAAAAAACGGGCACACTTACCTCTCAAGACGAGGAAAATACGCACAACTTGAGCGAACAACGCAGTCCAATATTCACACAAAACATAAGCCATGATAATCATTTCTATCTAAATCATTTCCTCAACTACTTCATAGTTCAAAAGGAGAAAAAAAACGACTTGGAACTGATATATGATAAAATATACTACTATATCCTCATCGTCAGCATGTGCTTCAAGGACCGAAATTTCCTATCCTTGCTGCTGTCCCAAAATGAGCACTTCTTCCCAGAATTCAACCAAATGATACAGCAATATTTGAAATACGTCTTAAAAAACAAGCAAGAAATAAATAAAAAAAAAAAAAAAAATGAAGTCATGATACATAACTTGTTGTATATATTCGTCTCCTACATATATATATACCTAAACGAACTGTACAATATTTTTTTCACACAAATAAAAAATGTACTCACCTTGCCATCCTTTTTTCAAAACATCATATATGTGCATAGCAAAGGGGTGGATCTAAATGGAGGGAAAATAATTAACACTCTCATCAAAGCAGAGAACACATCAGTGGACACCTTTTACAATACTTTAATAAACATGAAAAAGAAAAATTGGAACAAAAACTTAGAAAATTACACGGATCAAAATATAAAAAATGTAGTAGTTCAAAACATTTTTCACAACAACAATATCTATTTATTCATTTTGTACATCATAAATGATAATAAATACAACGACAAAAGAGAAGGTGGAAGCAGAGAAGAAAAAAAATTACTCAATCGGATGCTGTCCTCCGGTTATGAGGAACATGACCAAAGTGACAGCCGCCCAGAAATTCTTCATTTAGACTTTAAAAAAAATGATAAAATATTTTTAAACAAAATTACCACCAATATTGTTCTATTCTTCCTTTTATTTTTTTACGATTACTACTCATTCAATTACGAAATAAAGGAAAACATACTCATGCAAATTGCCAGACATATCTTGGAACATTTCGCCACCTTCTACAATTCTGACCTTCTGAACATTCATTTGAAGTACGCACAAATGGTTAAAACGGCTAACCTGAAAAGGAAAAGGACGCTGTTACCTGGACAGTCGCTATTGCGAATAAATCGGTACTTGAAAAAGCCACCGGGGGGCACCTCATCCCAGGAAACCTCTGGCCAGGGTGGCAACAGCCAGCGCGATGGAAAAATATGTTCCTCTCACCAAAAAAATATGAAGTCTTGTCGCGCAAGTATGGCCTTGGCCAGGATAAGAGAAGAAGGACGAAAAAAAAGGGGGGAAAAGCAGAAAGGGGAAGACAAGCCGGGAGATGCAACACTGGCAGAGAAGAAACACGGGGAAAACTCTCACGATCAAAATGCGTACGATAAAGATTCGCAATATGCTGATACTTGTCCCACTCGGCAGGATGCTCCCCACGGAACCAAAAACAAACCAGACGAGACAGGACAAGTGCCCCAACCAGATGTACAACTAATTACCACGGTAGTCGAAAAGCTGAAAAGAAACAAAAAACTTCTATTCCTGTACACCATAAACTGCTTCAGAATAATACAAACGTATAGCAACATCTCGTCGCTAATGTTTAAGTACAAATATATATCGACCCTACTGGAAAAGCTGGCATACTTGACGCACAAAAATGTGGTAGAATGTGTTTGGAACTCATTCCATTTCTACCTGAACAGCAATAACAAAAGTGAAATAAATGTTTTCAACGAAAAAGGCATGTCACACGTAGATAAAGAAATTGGGTACCTCTCCTACATGTACATAAACTACTTCTTCAATTTTGTGTGTTGTTTTATCCTATATGATGTGGCAACCTTGTACAAGTTGTGCTCGAACATGCTGAATTGCTTAGACATGCTGAGCAATCACTTAAAAGATCTCATGGATAATAAAAAGGGCATATACATCTGCTCGGTTATTGTGAAATTTTACCTGACCATAACTAACTCATACTTCTTTGACTTTTCCCTGTATGATAATGCGCTCGGCGAGATGAACCACGACAAGGGGATAAGTCCCATCCCGGAAACGGACCCCCTAGAGGCGGACATAACGACACACCTTATTGACAGTTTGAGAAGCAAGAAAAGACAAGACAACAAGGGAGAAATAAACTACTTCTTATGCGTTAAGAGGTTGAGCAGCGAATTTTGTAAAAGTAAATTTCTGCATTTTTTAATTAACTACGTTATGAACAACCTTGATAATAACGTGAACAAATCAAAGGTAGAAATTGAACAGACCAGCCACCTAATCTGTCTCATCCTCCAGTTATTGAGTTACCAAATAATTTTCATAGATAATAAAAATGAAATTTTAAAGCTCGCTAATGTGTTAGTAAAATACATGAAGAAAAAGAATCCTTGTCTCCTGACGACGTACTATATAATCCTATTTTTTAATTCATGCTTTATGAACTCCTCCTTGGACGAGAGAATAATAACCTTGCTATTCACTTTCGAAAAAAATGATAACATATGGTTTAACTTGATATTCTTACAAAACAGTAAAATCAAAAGAAGCAAAGAAATACTACTCCTAATCAAGTTCTCCATTTTACACCTGTACCTACTATTGCTAAAAAATAAAAACTCCTTCAAAAAATCCATCCTGTGCATTTCGGGTGACTTAAACATATATTTCGTTTTCATATATGTCCTCAACGAGATACATGAGTACTTCAAAAGTTGCAACATTGAATGGAGTGCATTACGAAGCATGAAGACAAATCAGAATGAAAACAGAAAAAATGAAAATGCCAAAAGGGACAAAAATAACAAATACTTCTACCTGTACGCAGAGCTCCTCGTTATCGTCACAGAAATGATAAAAATCATGAACAATAATGATGTTAATAAATACATCACCATTTACCATAACAAGGACAAAGACAACTTCGTTGTGCAATTTAAAAATGTGTATAGAAAAATAAAAAACGAATTAAAACACTTCGAACAAACAATAAAATTAATAAAGTATATCATATTTATTCACCCCCTCATGATTAACATACATGCACTGCACAAGTTCTACTTGTGCTTATACATAAAGGAGTACCACTACTTCCACAAGGAATTTTTTAAATACGATCTGTTCCTAGTAGACTATGTGAACCTACTTCGGGACAAAAGGAAAGCAAAAATCGCTAACACGGCGATGGATCAACGAGGTACAGAAGATAAGAAAACAGGGGAAGTTTCTTCGGACACAGTCCAAAACCAAGCACAGCATTTGTCGTATAATCGCATCACCAAAAAGGACAATAAAGATGTGTCCCCCCATGTCTTAGTAGATGACGTAAAAAAAGGGCATAACTTGGAGAAAAATAATATGCACTTTTATTTTTTTTTCAACACGCCAAAGAATTATAATTACCAAGTCAACAATTTGTGTTCTTCCATCCTTCAAAATGAATTTCAGGGTTCCCTTAGCAATATTTTCTCCTCCTCCTTTAGTAACCAAAACGATAATTCTCACAACAGTTTGCAATACAACACTGATCAGATTAAAATTTATGCTGACTACATTCATGGCAGTGTTAATTATGCTATTGAGTTTTTCAATTCCTTCTGATTGAGGGTAGGGGAACAGCTGCCAACATGGTCTAACACTCGCACGTAAGTTGCACTGGGGGGAAATATCCCTGTACCCTGTTACGATCCGAATTGTAACGTTGTTTTTCTTTTTTCTCACAATTAAAGAACAATGCTGCTGCAAACATTCTGAATAATTCAGACCCTTCCGCTGCAAATCACTTCACTTATTCCTTTCCCATAGTTTGCACCCTGTTCTATATGCGCGCAACGCCCCTAAAGGGCATCCAACGGAGACATTACTTTTTACCGTGCCACTCATAACTGTGAGATGTCCCTAAACTTAAGCTTCCTCTGAAAATAAACATACTTGGATTCGTCCACTAGACATTTGAAACTTATGGGCTCCGTGTAGCACAGGCTGTACAAGCTCTTCCTATTTAGCATGATGTTGTTGTTCAGCAGGCTGTTCATAAAGTGAGCGTATGTGAAGTTCCACTCTCTGCAGGCCCTGTTTACACTGGCTATCCAGTGAACCTAAAGGAAGGAAGGAAGCAGCGGTGAGAAAAAGCGGTGCAGGAGCACGCTTCCTGGGACAATGGAGTGCATACAGGGATGCTCTACACACATGCCCATCTGCGTACGTGTGTACACACTGCATGGGGAGCGCGTGCCTATTTAAGCGAACTCCCCGTCGTAACCCCCGTCGCCCTTGGCCTATCTGCCGCATCTCTTGTTCATGCTCCTCAACCTACCCGCAGCCTCCTATACCGTTGGCGTCGCATAATGTACGAATGCAGCAACGCCTTCATGGCCCTGCTCCGCGCAATTTTAAAACATCCCTTGCTCCTCCCTCTAAAACCTTTCGCAACTTGAAAAACAACTTCCCTGGGCAGCTTCATCGTATCCAATTCAGTTTCCCCTTTTTTTTTTTTAAATTAACTATATCGGTAGAACTGCGCAATAATGTTTTGCTGCTGCTCTGCCTTTGTTCGTATACTTGGACATGAGATGAAGGTTGTTGCTGTTGGGAATTTCCATCCAGTTCACGCATTACGTACGGGTTTCTCCTTAATTGAGCATTTTTGTTCTTACTCTTTTTAAGTAAATCTGCACCTTTTTTAAAATACCCCAATAGTGCTGTTCATTACAGAAGTAAGTACTCTGTGTCGAACACGTGAACTCATATGAGCTGAATGCAAATATGGATGTAACCCAAAATCATTATATGCACATCGTGCCTACTCCATTTTACACGTCCCCGTCGTGAGCCATTCCAACAAGAGGAAAAAAATAATGTAAAGATACGCGTAAAAAAATATAACACACAACAGGGTATTATCTCCCATAAAAAGCTGATAGGATTAAAACTTAATTCATACGTTTTTAAAAACCTTTAAAAATTTATTTTAAAAAAATAATAATAACACAAATGCCATCAAAAAAAAAAAAAAAAAAAAAAGTAGATATAATTTTTTTCTTTTCCCATATAATACATTTTAAGATACAAAAAATTACCATTCATAAAAATCCTTCATGTAAGAATGCAAAAGAATAAAATGACCCTAAAGGTGCAGTGTATACAACGTGGAAGAATTCACGGGGGATATGCACAATAACTTTGCCGAAAAAAAAAAAAAAAAAAAAAAAGAGAGAGAGAGAAATAAGGAGAAATAGCTACAACAAAATGTCCGAAACGAAACAAATAGAAAATCAGATTAATTCATAATAGGAGAGGAATTACTACTTCGTAAAACTGCTTATGAAAAATGGTTAAAAAAAAAAGTGGTTCCTGGAGAATGACTCGAGGGTCTACTGGCGCGAGCGCGCAGGTAAATACACACACGCACACTGCACCGCACGTCACATAAATTGACGCCAATAACAATATGGACACGATGTACCGATGTCAACATGTTGAGCATCTCCTGTCTCCGTCCACCCTACATGCCTATGCCTATTTGTCCTTCTTTCCAAAGCAAGCCTCCTTGTGCGCTTCGTCTAAAACTTCCTTGGTAACCCTTGAGCACTTTTTCTTGTAGCATTCAGACTTAATAACTTTCTAAAAAGGGGGGAAAAAAAAATAAATAAAATAATTGTGTGCACCGCGTAACAGAGGGGGTGATCAAAAATGCACCCGGAAAAGTATCAAACAGGCCAAATTTTCGTTAAACCGAAAGGAGGAAGAAATTCGCTTTTGCATTAATCCGCTGCTGCGGTTAAACCGTGAAAAGGCAAAACGTAACGGACGTGGCCACAACCGCCGGCTCAACCATTGCAACGTACCTCCATACACTCGCACTTGAGGAAACACTTGCGCACGAGATCTTCGAACGTCTGGAAGCCGCATCCCTTCAAACAGTCGTAGTTCTCCTCGTTCTCATCATACACAACACCGTCATCCTGGAACTCTATCTCGAACGTCGCCTTGGAATCCAAAGACTTATAAATAGACACATTCTCTGGAGACGCGGCCAACTTCTTATTACCCCATTCTATAATATCAATAAAGGACTGTGTAGCAAAATTTCTAATATCGGAAATGGAGTGAGTTTTTCCCAACTGGTGTATACCAATGGCTAACAAAACAGCCGTAAACATCCTTGCAATGACAAAAACCCAAGAGTCATTTCTGTAAATCCATTGATGAACAGGAGTAAATGATTCGACAACGTTACAATCTTCATCAAACAAATTGGGGAACAACCAATAATCGACTCCAAAGAACCAGAAGAAAATGAAGAGGAACAATCTGACAAACACAATTACAGACATTAGGGATACAAACACCACAGATAAGTGCCACAGGGCCAATTTTAATTTCAGGGGCCAAATAGGAAACATACAACAAATTAGCACTATTGATATCAGCGTAATTAGCATCAAGCATTGTAACTTCTTATTCCTTTCATGAACTAGGATGTAAAAACTGGTCTTATCAAAATTCTGTTTCGAACACATTATTAATCTTTTTGGCCATTTGGGTCTCCTATACATTCCATTTTCGTCGATCTCGTTTATGCCCTTAATTGGCTTATACTGCGCTTTATATATAAATCCCTTCTGAATAAATGTGTCTGCAAATTCTTCTATGTCTTTCAAATCTTCTAAGGTTCTATTTTGCAATAAATTTGGGAACTTTGTTTTAAGCATGTCCCTTTTGCTGTACAAAAAATGTACAAACTCATCTCCTCGGAAATATTCCACTGCTCTTTTTCCAACTTCTACTGCGCCCTTCACTTTCACTCCTTCATCAAATGCACACGTCAACAGTGCAAGCATCTCCGGATCTAAGTCCTGAAAAATATCAAGTGCGGGAAAGACACATATACAGAGTTAAGCCATCATTCACCACAAAACAGTTGACGCGCAGAAAATACAAATCGCAAAAAAAAAAAAAAAAAAAAAAGAAGGATTAATTACGTTCCACGCATAGCCATAATCCATGGCAACACAGTGCCTCCTATTACAAAGGCACTAATAGGAACGACTATACCATCCTATACATTCCATTTTCGTCGATCTCGTTTATGCCCTTAATTGGCTTATACTGCGCTTTATATATAAATCCCTTCTGAATAAATGTGTCTGCAAATTCTTCTATGTCTTTCAAATCTTCTAAGGTTCTATTTTGCAATAAATTTGGGAACTTTGTTTTAAGCATGTCCCTTTTGCTGTACAAAAAATGTACAAACTCATCTCCTCGGAAATATTCCACTGCTCTTTTTCCAACTTCTACTGCGCCCTTCACTTTCACTCCTTCATCAAATGCACACGTCAACAGTGCAAGCATCTCCGGATCTAAGTCCTGAAAAATATCAAGTGCGGGAAAGACACATATACAGAGTTAAGCCATCATTCACCACAAAACAGTTGACGCGCAGAAAATACAAATCGCAAAAAAAAAAAAAAAAAAAAAGAAGGATTAATTACGTTCCACGCATAGCCATAATCCATGGCAACACAGTGCCTCCTATTACAAAGGCACTAATAGGAACGACTATACCACACCTGGGGACGTATACATATGTAGGTATACACCCGTACGTAAAACCTCACGTACAACACTAAGCTAGCAAAACGGCGCGCCAACTGGTATGTCTAAAAACTCGAAGCCTTACCTCTGCTCTGCTCATTTTGACCTAAGTTACAAGCAATTCAAAAACATTAATCAAACGGAAAATAACGTATGACAAAAAAGGGAAGAAGAATATATTTTCCCTACTACTTTAAGCAATGCTCATGCAATGCTATCATCATATATTTTGCTCTTCTATTCCAGTCATAGCACCCATAACGTGCCAGTTCCTCTGTATACGTCCGCGTGTGTGTCTGTTCGGCTCGTTGTGCCACTCCTAGTATTTCTCACTGCGTTTCCGCCAGTGGTATCCTTGGTTACTCTCGGTTACGTGACCGTCCCAGTTCGTTCCGTTGACTCTTTAAGTACCTGCCTCTTTCTATCACTATTTCGCCTTTTTTCTCAATTTCATGCACCTCACTGTATTCTCCGTATTATATCCTCGCTCGGCTAAGCAAGTAAATATTTGCGCGTATGCATACGTCAATTATGTTGGCTTAACGTTTTGCTGTTACTTTGAGTATGCCTTCATATCGCATCCTTATATTGCATTCTTATCTTGCATCCTTATTTCGCGCCTATTTTTTGTATCCTTAATTTGCATTCTAATTTTTCCTTCCTTGTTTGATTGTTTTCCGCTCGGTAAAATTCATGTGTTAACGTGTTCGCGCTCTGGGACTCGCTTTTTGATTTTTCCTCTACTCTTGACATTCTTTGACGCGCTTATGATTGACCTCTCGTCATTACCTTTGTTTTGGCGTTCACATCGTTTCACATCAGATATTGTTACTTTTTTTTTGGGAAATAAATGGCTGTGTTTTTCGCGTGTCGCGTGTGGCATGCTGCACTTTCCCCTATCGCACTCCTCGGTCCATACATTCCCACTTCACGGCCCCTATTGCAGCGCTGCTGACATCGCTCAAATTCACTTTTTATTTTTTTTATGCATATGATATTTTCATATTCTTTTATCGCATTTTAAAAATTGGGAAAAATTAATCGTAAAACATATGAAAGTGAATTTGCCCAGTATTATCATTATCTACAAAAAAAAAAAAAAAACAAAAAAATTGCATTCGTGCATGCTTCCCATTTTTTTTTTTTCGGCCCCCTTACGCGCTAAGATCTGGTTTATGCCCTAGCGATCTGTTGGTTAAGCATTTACGGGCTGTAGATGAAATTAGGGGCATATGCCGCAGACAGCAAACTTGTAAGCAGCAAACCACCATTTGCGCTGACCCCCCCTCCACATTGCCATTTTTGGATAAACACACACTTGCAAAGGAAAAAAGGCAAAACTTCAATCAAACTTTTACCGCAATGTGAACAGGCACATACAATTCGTTCGTGGATCGCACATATTTGCAACCCCACGATAAACACATGAACTATATATTTATTCACATTCACAGTTTGTCCATGGAGGAAGGGAACGCATAGGACCACATGGCCCAAGGGGGGGCTACCTTTTATGCAGACCATTAGATCAACAAATTGGCCAAAGCATCAACAGTTCTTAACCAAAATGTATGGATACGTTCAAATGCTACGGGTGTTGATAAAGGGCCTAAACCACAAAAGTGGGCTCACCCACTTTGTGCACACGTCAGTATCCGATTAATCTCCTGGGATGTATGCACAAAATGTAGCCCCGAGCCCCGTGACTCAGAAATGCCAAAGGGTCACGTTCCATTGACGAGGCACCCCAAATGGACAGTGCGTCTAACGCGTTGTACACTCACGACCTCGTCGCGATGTAGATTCCAGCGCTGTTTCGAAATGGGACAAAAGGGCCCAAAAAAGAAAAAGAACTTATGAACACACACAAACACGTGTATTTCACGCTAGGCACAGTGAAAAAAAAAAATGTAGGCCAATAAAACAGAGAAAGCCCCCCCAAATCATCCTTCATATTTTGCAATATAAAACAATTGACTTCTTTCCAAAACGGAAATAGTTATGGTTTGTTCATAAAAGTAAAAAGTCCTTTTTTTATGGGTACTTTTTATATGTTCCCTCACCTGCATATATCATGTCTCCTCTTCGAATGTAACAACAAGTTTCCCTTACATTTTATAGAGCATAAAGGTAACTACCACCATCCATATGTCCGTAACGATCTAATGCTACACAGGAGCAGCCATGGAAATGTTCATCACTGCCTAAAATGGTTAAGCTCCTATGGGGCCGCATACGCGTGCTGACCATACACATCAAAGACGTGCAATTTGGCGTTTCATCCATTTGGAGAAGTAAGAAATGCAATCAAGTTGCACATTTTTTCCAGATAGCATTTACAACTTCGCCCTTTTTAATCTACACACAAAGGGAAAGAATATATAAGCTGCATAATGTTCCCTGTCAATAAGCATAGTTTTGCATATATCTACATTTACCATAACGCGCATGAATTAACCGTTTTGTAATATCACAGGATGAACCTTTCCTATTATGTGCTCTTCGAACCTTTTTTAAAAAAAAGAGAAAACGAACAGAAGATATAACTGTGGTGACCAACTTTGGCGTAGAATCGGCACGTTAAACAAAGTACTTCTCAGTCTTAAAAATGTGACGAAAATATTACATATGCAAATGTGCGCCTATTTGGCCAATTAATTGTGTATGTTTGTTTAAGCGCACATTTGCATATGTATAAGGTCTCTAGTCTCCTTTGCCTGAATCGCATAAGCGGCTTTCCACCTATTTGTTGATGAACTGCATTTGCACACTTCATCATTTCACGACTAAATAGGAATATTTTCACCTTTGTTTCGTATTACTACCTTTTCAAAGCCAAGTTGTCCCAATGCCTTAATTTTTGCGAACGTCGTTTTGCCCTAAACAAAACAGAAAAAGCAACGCTATTTTTTATTCACCCTTGGAATATTCATTTCATTTGTATTGGGGTTGGTTTATTTTTACGTTGAAGGCAAAATGCTTCCACACTTTTTTTGTTCTTGAATTTTTCCAAAAGTGTACTAATTTATTCACACCAAAATTTATAATGGTAAATTAATTTGGAGTTCCTGTTTCTACAAAATGGACCATAACTGATAAAAACTCATTGTTTTTGTTTCCCCGCTAAATGCGCCCTTTTCTGAACGCACCGAAGGAGGAATCGAACCTCTGCGCAGAAATTCTACGCCAAATGATTTGAAGTCATACTTAGCAACCATGCTAACTCATCGGTGCAATTTTTCCCCTTTCACGCAAGCGACGTGCAATGCACTCGCCCTTCCTAAATGTATCTACATGTGCCTGTCCCAATTGCGTACTGCCTGCAGCGCTTGATCAACGCAAAGGGCATTTTCATGTACGCTCTACATATGTTCATTTATGCCGCGCGTTTCCATTGCACAGAACGGGAAACATCAAAGTCAAATATCAAAGGTATTGTCAAAATCAAAGACAAAATCAAAATGTTATTTGAAAAAAAGGCCATGCTGTGTTATCATTGCTTGGCAAGCCTTTTTATCATGTCCCGTGTCTGTGTTTTTCATCTTTTACAAGGTAAAACACATTTGGCGTACCATTTTCGTGCAAAAAAGAAATTATTCGCCGTAGGAATTAAATGCCCGTCCGTTCCCCATAAAAACCTTCTCCACTTAAAAAGGAGAAACGCTTTGTACCTTCCTTTATGAGGATGATTTAGCCCCCTTACGTGTGTTCAAAAATGCCGGCACACATTCACGGCCTCGCTTAATGAAGAGAAAACTGCCAAGTACACTTTTTTTTTTTTTTTTTCCCCTTGTTTGGAGAGAAAATGCTGCGTTTATGCATCACAGTTTTTGCCTTTTGCTTAAATGCCTCCTCTAGCTTGTGTGCAATTTTCTCCAACAGAAAATACTTAACTTAAGGTAAAAAGGAGAACAAATTTATCTGTTATTCTTTTTTCCCCTAATTTCTTGACTCTTCAAAAAACAACACATTTGTAAAAATAACGCCATTATGCAGTTAAGCATATCATCCGCACGTTCATGCAGCACCAACATAGGGATCACCCAACAGAGCAAAAAAAAAAAAAATTGAACACAATTTTGCAAAGTAAGCTTCGTAAATGACAACAATTCGTCAGATTAATGCATCATATAAAGCCTTTGACGCAGAACAAAATTTGTGCCGTTCTGATTATGATACAGAAGTGTTATCGGATAAACGAAGCCACTTGGGGAAAAGTCACTAACAATTCGCGAGTTCCAAATGACCACTTTTTATATTCTCCAAAAAATGAGCGCGCAAAAAGTGAGAACAAAAAAAAAAAAAAAAAAGCCCATAAGTTACATTACTAAACTGCTGTTTGCTGTGATATCACACAAAAATGCTTTTCATATGCTTGTTAAATTAAAACCTTTGGGAAAATATATATATATGTATCCCAAACTGTAATACCACAAGCAAGTGCTTCCATTATGTACTTAATCCAAAGCTTTTGCGTTTAAAAAAATTTATATACATCCCAATCGGTATATTCCTCAAAACAGTTTTTTTTTAAAAATAAGTTTTGTTTCATTCCAACCATGGCGCATATTTATTTTACAAAGTTTTTTTGTAAAAGAAGAAATCCGAGGAAAGAATAGTATGCCGTTCATTTTACATATTTTTTGTTAAGGGTAATTGGCGCAGTCGGTTAGCGCGCGGGTCTCATAATCCCGAGGTCGTGAGTTCGAGCCTCACATTACCCAAAAGGGCTAAGCTCTGAATCCCCTACAGAGCTTAGCCGTCACAATCTTGCGGGCGCTAAGATGGTTCGCCATCTCTGCGCTCCAGATTTTTTTTTATTTGTTTTGCATTTATTTATAATATACAAATTTTATAAATTTGCTTACATATGCAATGTTCCATTTAGCTTTATATGTTTACTGTGCCCAGGTAACAGTAGTTTAAGTTATGTTGCAATAAAGTTACTATCACTCGCAACGGTAATAAACAAATCCTTTTTTCTTTTCACTTTTTTTTTTTTGGCACTAGTCTCGGTACTTAGCCTTCCATTCATGCTTATATACGCACTGTATGTTACATGTGGCAGAAAATTAATTATTCAATTTTTATTCTCCCATT